ACAGACAGTGAGGGAGTCCCAGCAGGGATTCGGGGACCATCCCTTGACCCTGAGGGTGCTTCTCACCCCTCTGAGGTCCCAACGCTGTTTTGCTGCTGCACAGGTGGGCAGCACACATCATTGGGCAATGACGTGACCTTCTGGAGGGCTTCTCAATCACCCTGGGGCCAAAGCAAATTCAGAGCTATGTCCCCCTGAGCCACCTCTGCCTCAGACTGTTCCTTCTCCCCAGCCGTGCTGCTTCTCCCTCCCCAGACCAAGCCATGCAGCTGCAGGCAGTGACGAGGCTGACAAGCTCCTTCTCCAGCCGGCTCTGCCAGCCATCTCGGCCTGGGTCTGTAACAACTTCCCCCCAAGCCCAAGGAAATCCCCATCCCTTTTCCACTGAGTGAGCCTTGCCCTAGAACTGAGCTCCATCAAGACATGGAGGAGAGAAGCACTGGGGGCCTCAAGGACTTCAGCTAGAAAAGTTTTAGCACCCAGAGGAAAGGTTTTGTACCTGCTTTGCTGATGGAGAGCAAGGAGAGTGTCTCGTTCCTGCTGCCCAGGTGAAGGGCTGCACACAAGCCCAGACCACTCTGAGCGACTGGCCCCAGCACCTCCGCAGCTGGGGAGTGACAGGAACAAGTAAAGGGAACTGTGGCAGGGAGAGCTTTGGGGAATTTGGAGCTGAGCTAATTTTTCACAGGTAACAACTCCGCAAGAGAAGTTCCCTGTCGCAGAGACACCAAAGGCCACTCGCTCCCCATCCAAGGCAGCAGCCAGCAAGCAACTGCAAGTCACTGCAGGAAAACACCAGAGCCAGGAATCACGACTCCTCTGCTACACTTACTGTCCCCTTACCCACAGGATCCCAGTGCTGCAAAGCCCCGAGTTTTGCTCTCCAGAGACTGAGCTCCAGCAGCCTGGTGTTTGCAGAGCTTCGCCATGGAAGGCTCACAGCTTTAACCTTTCCCATTTGCAAGGGGCTGTGAGGTCTTAGGGGAAGAAAGCAAATGAAAATCAGATTTCAAAGGGGGAGAAAGGAGGTAACGACAGTTGTTTTTTCTTTACCCAACCCAGGAAACCTTGGGTGGCCACTGCCCCTCCCAACAGCCCACAGAGCAAAATCAAGGCCCTTTCAGGCCCCCATGCAGCAAGGTCCGAGGTCCAAGGTCCAACCCTGCAGGCGTTACTGTGCACCTCTTGTCCTCCCCAACGCCAAGCCTCTGTCATGCCACCCACCCACCGGACCACATTGGCCAAGGGGAAAACAGCCTGACGGGTGTCGGATCGAAGCTCTTGTCCCGCTGCAACTGGAAGAACCTCCACCATTCCCAGATGCTCTGCTGACAGGGATGGACAAGGAGGTGACGCTCCCCAGCTCGCTGCCATGCTGCAGGGAAGGCAGGATGAGCCCCCGCAGGGGACTGCAATAGCATTTCCTGGATGTCAGGAAGCAGAAGCGATAGCTGCCTTGTGAGTGCACAAAAAAACGGCTTCTGCTGGGCTGAGCCCTTGTTTTGGAGGGAGCGACCACCCCACTGAACAACCACATCTCTCTGCGTGCCTGTGCCAAGCCGGCAGCGCTCAGGGACCCACCGACAGACCGTTACGGTCGGACATGGTGACGGCCACCATGCCAGTACGCAAGCACTTTATTGCACAGTCTCATCCTGCCAACAGCACTGGGCATTGGGCTCCCAAAAACCAAGGCAGGACAGAGAGCTGCATGGACCAGGAGCATCCTGCCCTGGCAGGGCCACGGCGCAGGGTTTTTTTGATGCAGAAACATGCTGCATCCAGAGACACACATCGGGCTCAGCAGGGCAGTAAAAGGCATGCGTGAAAAATAACACCACTACACAGCTCAAGAGGAAAGGGAAAAACGATGCTCGGCACTGTTGCTTCGCTTGCCAGCCCCAAGCTTTGGAGTTGGCTGAGTGTGGGACAAGCCTTGGGATGCCCAAAAAGGCCATGAGAGCTCTCAGGCTGCTCTTATGCAACTCCAAGAGTTGATTTTCCCCCAGGCAAAACACTGAAACGACCAACCGAGATGTTCAGCTGAACAAGACAGCTCATAAACACCCCCGGACGCTGGTTGATGGCTCGTTCCTGGAGAAGAGTCCAAGTTTGACGGAACATTTTCCATCAAGCTGAAAACAAGTATAAAAATCATCGCCGGTAAAGTTTCCGTGCAACAAAAATCAGCAGGAAAATGAGAACAAGGTCAACACGCTGACAATTGAGGCCTTTTTTTTTAAGCGGGGTCCCATTCCAGCTGGCAGCAGTTTTATGCCCAGGAGCAAGGACCACAGATGGGGTCCTAAAAACGAGCATATGGCAGAGACTCAACTCATCCGTCCCCCACTTGGAGGCCAACAGTTATCTCCGCTGCACAGGCCTGGGTGCGCTCTGTGGTGCAGTCCCAGAGGCAGGGAGCCTGTGTTTATTTTGCTATTTTTTAATCTGGGAGTAAAATTTCCTCCTAAACAAAGTTGTTTGCAATGGGGCCAAACCAGATGTCAGTTGGTTGGAAGCTTAGGCAGCTTGCAGAGCCAGACCCCCAGGGTTCCCCCCAGACCTTCTCCCACCCAGCTGGACAAGCTCCAGCACTCGGGACTCCCCTCCAAAAAAAAGTGCAGCCCCTTCCACACTGCTGACCTGCCACCGGCCTTCGAGACACCTTCCAGCTCAGGGGTTCGAGCAAACAAAGATGCTCAGGGCGCAGGGTGAGAGCTCTCTGTCACGTTTTCTGTGCTCGCTTCCATCAGCAGGGGCCATGCGCAAAGATAAAGAGCCTTAAAAGCTCTCGCGATCCTGAATGGTGCAAGGGGAAGTTAATTTGCCTTATGCAAGCGAAGCTACAGGAAGGGAGGGAGACAAACAGCAAAAATCCTGTCCGAGGGACCTCCTGCCTTGCAGCCCAGATGCCCTCCTTGGGCTGCAGTAACGGTGCCACTGGGGCGACCGGCAGCTGTGACAGGCAGCACAGGGTCCCGCCACATTGGACATTGCACCCGTGGGATTAACGGCCCCTGACGCCGAGACCTTTGAGACGAGACAACGGGCTCAGCCTCCCAAAACCTTCGTGGAACTGTCGCTGCGCCCCCCTGCTTTGCAGAGTTTTGTAAACTTCTGCCAACAGGAGCGCAGCTTTCCTCGAGACACAGCTCCTACCCTGGCTCCCGGTGCAGGGCTCGCTACCCAAAACCGCAAAGAGGACGGAAAGTTATTTCACATCCTCCCGTGCTAAAACAACACGTCTCTCCCGGCGCGCCTGAAAGGCCGTGGATCGGTTCACTCGCTCTGAAGTCTGTGCATGATGCTGGTTTGAATTAGGCCCGAAGAATTCAGATCCAGCTCCTCCGACACCGCCCATTCTCCAGGCAGCGCTAATAAAAGCAAAATAAACGCCGGGGGGGAAACACTCAGACACTAACTCCGGGGTTAGTCACTTTTCCTCTGCGCCCACACTCCCATTTTAGGGCAAGCAGGAGTCTCCACAGGCTGCAGATGCAAACTAGCCGCATTTCTCCACGGGAAAAGTTTTTCCGACCCCTTTTCAAGCTAATCCCACTCTCCGAGAGCGAGGCTGCACCATTTGCCAAGACCCGGCACTCCCTCTGCCGCCTCCCCAGCCCTGCCCTGGCTAGGAGGGCGAGGGAGGCTCCTCTCCAAGCCTGCAGCTTTGGGCAGCGAGCCAGCTGAATTCCTGGGGTCCAGGGAGCCAGCGAGCAGTGGGGACGCTCCCGGAGGTGCACAGCAGCCCAGCCAGGTCTGCGTGGAGCAAAGCTCAAAAAACTTCTTCCCTAAAGGAATTTTATCCACATTCCTGCATTTCTCTGCCTGGCAAAGGCTTGAAAACATTATTATTGTTTCAAACCCTTCTGGGGGAAGGGGGAAGAACAGCAGATTCCCACACATGCAGGGATTTATGCTGGAGGCGACGCCGGGCTGGGGTTTGGTTCCCTAAACAGGGGGACCCTCCTGCAACAGCACCACGGCAAACCAGGTCACGCTGATGGCCCCACCAAGCCGATGGGGGCTGCAAAGCCACCGCAGCCATCAGAAGGACAAGCCACCGCATGCATGTGTGCCACAGCTTCCCAGGAGTGACAGACCCCAGGGGGACACTCCCGGGATGCGGAGGGACCTCGTGGCATCCTGTCCCCTGGGTCTCCCTGCCCAGGGGGAAGAAGGATCCTGCGATGCCTTGTCCCGCACGATTCCCTTCCAGGGGGGATAGCAGGACCCTGAGACACCCCATCCTCCACAACACCCTTCCCGGAGCACACGTGATGTCCCACCCCCTGTGATGCCCTTCCTGGAGCATCCACGGGCCACGCGATACCCTGTATCCTACAACGCCCTTCCTGGGTCATACACAGACCCCACGCCACCCCATCCTCTGTGACACCCTTCCCAGGGCACACATGAACCCCGCGATTCCCCATCCCCCGTGACACCCTTCTTGGGGCTTGCACAACCCCTGTGACGGTGGATGACCTCCTGCAAAGCCCCTCCTGGGGCACGCCTGGACCCCATGACACCCTACTCCCTGTGACACCCTCCCTTGGGTGTCCACAGCCCCCGTGATGCCCCAACTCCCACAACGCCCTTCCTGGGGCATGCACGGACCCTACCACACCCTACGTTCTGCAGTGCCCTTTCCTGGGGCACATGTGGTCCCCGCAATTCCCTGTCCCCAGCGACACCCTTCTTGGGGCACGCAGGGACCCGGTGACACCCTACATCCTACAAACCCCTTTCCTGGGGGCACGCGTGGACCTTACCACACCCTACCTCCTGCGATGCCCTTCCTGGGGCATTGCATTATACCCCAACCGCTGCGACGCCCTTCCTGGGGCTCACGCAGATCCGTGACGCCCATTGCGGGCCACGCAGGGACCCCGCGGCACCCAACCTGGGCCACGCGGGGACCCCGCGGCACCCATCCCGGAGGCCTCCCCTGCTCTGCCCCCACGGGTGTCGGACGATGCCCGGCGGGACCCACTCACCGCTCGTCGGGCGTGCGGCCCTGCTGCAGGGCGGGTTCCAGGGGCACCAGGGCCTGGCCCAGGAAACGGTCCATGCCCACCAGGGCCCGGTGCATGACGGTGAGCACCAGGGAACCGCGGGCCGGGCCCGCCGGGGCACCCAGCTCGGGGGGCAGCTCGAAGGCGCACTCCTCCCGCCATTCGGGGTTACCGGTGCTCTTCTCGGCTACCGAGGTGCTGTATTTTTCGCGGCCCAGCTGGATGATGGTATAGGCGTCGCTGGTGCCCGGCTTGCCGCCGCCCTTGCACCGCAACCCGCGGGCCCTCACCACCGTCACCTGGACGTGGGTGGGCAGCCAGGCCGGAGACCCCTCAGCGGGAAGCGCGGCCGCCCGCAGCAGCGCCATGGCGGGACGCTGAGGAGACGCCGGACCGCATAAAACCGGACCGAACCGGACAGAACCGGACCGGACCGG